CACATTAGTCTCCGATAATGGCACATGCTTTACTAGCAAGGAGTTCAAAGACTTCATGGAACAGAATGGAGTTCGACACATAACAGTAGCTCCCTACCATCCATCTTCAAATGGCCTTGCTGAGAAAGCTGTCAACATTTTTAAGGGTGGACTTAAGCACTCTGATGGAACTCTAGAAAGCAAGCTGATGCGAGTATTGTCTAAATACCGCGCTACACCTCACACAAGTACTGGGGAAACGCCTTCTAAGCTTTTGATGGGCCGTGAATTAAAGACACCCCTTGATAATTTACGTCCAAACCTAAACAGCAAAGTTGAGAGTAAGCAACAACAACAGAAAGAACATCATGACAAGAGAGCTGTTCAAAGAACTTTCTCTGTTGGAGACCTTGTTTATGCGAGAAACTTTGGAAGGGGTGACGCGTGGTTACCTGGCCTTTTGGTCGCACAGACAGGCCCAATGTCGTTTTTTGTCGAGTTGCTGCAAGGTGGTTTGGTCAGAAAGCATCAAGACCAGATACGTATGCGCTTCACCAAAGACAGTGCAACACCAGGTTTACTTCAGCTTCAGGAGACGCAGCTTCCTTTGCCAGAAATTAGAGATGCTTTAATTGTGCCTGATTTCAGCTGAGTGTTTTGAATGAGAAAGCTAGGCATTTGAACGAGCTCACACTGATTCAAACTTTTCTTGTGTTTTCAGTACCTACATCTTAAAAATCATCGAAGTCGGGATGTCTCTCAATATAGAATTGCAATTTTCTTTCTTTTCCAGCAACCGAGCAGTCATTGAATCGAGCAAAGTAAGCTTAGACTTCATAAGAAGAGGATTTCATTCTTGCCAAGACACCGGTTTGAATCCCTTTTCTTTTACAACTTCATTGAGTTTTTCTTCCAACATAATCCTTTTTGGGCTATCTTTAAATTGTGGTGAATACTTATCGAGTATTTCTAAGCTGGATTAATGTCGTTGGCATTGAAAACAACTGTACGGTCAACTCGGAAAAGAGCGGGAAAGTCAAGTGCTAGGACGCGAGAGCGGACAAAAAGGCGGGAGTAGTTGAAATTGAACCATCTTTCTTTCAGATCATTGCCGACACCTATTTCAATGGATCAGAGAGCACAAGTCGATTACCATCCTCTGCTTGAGAAAGAGAAAGATTTTAACATGTTAGTGAAAAAGATCCTTCCAGGTGAAGAAACAGAAACAGTTATATCCAACGGTTCAACTTGCACATGTCTACGGTTTACCAAAGCCTTATAAGCCACAGTTATCTATGCGCCCCATCCTGTCTGTCGTTGGCACGTACAACTATAAATTATCAAAATGGTTAGACTTGAAGATCCTTAGAGGGATTCGTTAATAAAGACATCTGTAAACTGGTCATCGAGGACTACGTRCGTCAATATCTCCTTTGATGGGAGGGAGTCGTGGTAGAGTTGTATAAGGACAATTCTAGCGCAAGACCGATTGTGGGGACTCCCTAATATCAAAGGGCGGGGGTCCTCGGCGTCCCTTTTAGGGTTTGAAATCGGTATTTTGGTCCCGCTTAGGGTTATAATGACGAGAATTTCCCCCAACTGAGTTTTGTGGTTCCTTTTAGGGTATATGACGTCCCTAAGCCGTCATATTTCCTATGAAAGGTAGGTGCTGCATTCAACTAAAACAAAATGACCTGTTATTGATTGATCCCTTTTAGGGGTGAAATTTCAGCACTGCCACGCCCACCATCTCCAAACACAGGTCCCTCTTAGAGGTCATTTTCATAATTTCCGCCGAGGACCCCCGCCCTTTGATATTAGGGAGTCCCCCCCGGGATTCCTCCCTCCTGCATACTTGTGTGCAAGCAGTTGATGTTCGGGGTGGTTGACGTGATTACCGTGCCCAGGCCTCTATGGCGAGCACGGTCTTAACATGAAAGCATTTTTTGCACGTTAGAGGTTTTTAACAAGAGCTCGGCGATTTTCCCAAGACCTCACATCGATTGAGACAATATYGCTCCAGCTGATAAAAACACATGGTATGATGGCAGTCGTTCGAGGAGATGAAACTACTGAACATTTTTGCTATTTGGGGCATACGATATAGACTTCCTCTCGAACAAAGCAGAATTCCACGACGAATTGTCAAATGTCTCAGGACCAAGAATCAGGAAGGGTTCGTTTCAGACATCTTTTCACAGTTTTTTTTTTCTTTAGTTGGAAAGAATATAATATCAACTGTAATATTAGTTTTTTAAAAAGTTGATTTCGATTTTTTAAACGCGATTAATTAATGAAAATAAAAATCGTGACGAAAACTATTCCAGAAACTGAAACCTAATCCAACGTGTATATACAGCTATTTCAAAAAACTTTGTCGGGTTGAATGCTGAATGGCGATTGTCGAAGGGAGATTGCACGTAGTTCYGYGTAGTGGTTYTTGTTTGTCATAAAGTGCTGTCAGGTGTTGCTTTTGACATTCCCCACAGTTCGGCGGTGTTTTCTTGCAATCGGTAGCATGCTAAGTTCAGAGCTGATAGTAGTCGCTTGGCTGCTCCATTGACATTTTTACGTTCTGTTCAGGGGCAGATCCAGGATTTCCTCAGGGGAGGGGTGAAGGGCTGTCAGGAGGGGGTACACCCCCGACAAAAATCATTACCATGAAGATACAAAATAAGGAAGGTATTGAAGGATTGAGATCTCAGGAGGGGGTTTGCACCTGGATCCGCGCCCCTGCTGGTTAAGGAGAGAATCGCTGTTCTTGTTTATGGATTGGATATTTTCGTTGCTTTTCCAAGGTGTGTTTCTACTGGACTAGATGGCTTGTAGAAGTGCCGTCTGTGCTGTCCATCTGATATATAGGCCTTTTGTAATAATATTAATGTTAATATAGCAAAAGGGGATTCCATATATTTCTCCATATAACCACCTGGACATCATCATAGGACAAGGGACCATAGGGTAGGTTATATATCACTTAGATAGAGTTATGTTTGTTTACAGAAATTAATGATAATAATAATAATATAAGCTTTTCTAGCGCTTATATAGCTTTCTCTAAGCGCTTTAAATAGTAAAAATGATTAAAATAAAAAGATAAAATAGAGATTTACAATGAAAATACAGTTAGTTAGAGATCATTACTTCTCTATACGTCAACAAATAAGCCACTATAATTGCAAAACAATTTTAAAGAACCAGTCTGATTTCATAAATCAAGCAAGCATGATTTTTTTGGTTGGCATGCTCTGTTAAGCTGATGACACTTTCTCAAAATTTCCACTCCACTTTTCAAGTTTTATTATAATCGTAACTTTGTCAAAGAATTTGAGCTCTGGCACTCATAATTTATTTTTGTAGATGTGAAATTTATGAAGATCTTCCATCAGTAGATGTTGTGATTGTCTCTGTTGGTGGAGGWGGGCTGATTAGTGGTATTGCATCCTACTTGAAGTCTGTCAAACCAGGCATTAAGGTTAGGAAGTCCATATTAGACTGCAATATTAATTTGTATCATAATTAAGTGAAGATCCAGACTGGTGTCATCAGATCATGATGTCCAAATGTGCTACCTATGTGCTAACCTATRCAAACATTAATTTACTGTGTATAGTCCATATCACAAGCCCGCCATTTTGAATGGTTTTGYAATGTATCATGGGATATAWATCTCCCTTTCTTCATCAAAACAAATCGAGTAAAATCGTAAAAACACTAATTAGTTTCGATTTTTCTTTTCATTTTTGCTTGATTTGCCTAGTAAATGGAAATTCTTGATTAACTGTACATTTTTGGAGGTTTTTCTTGCTGTATTTCCTTGCATGTTGGTATTTGTTTGTTTTTTCGCTTCTGAGATTAACTACAATATCAATATTTCCCAATGTTTTTCGAAAACTGAGTCTACGTTACAGACAACTGGAGCACTGACATCGTTGTTCACTTGTTTACTCATTTATCAATCCCAAAATGCACTGCGTCACAAGGCTTTCCGCGGGTTGCGATATGGACTATGCTACTTCAAAAAATACTAAATATTTCAATTTTCAGTTGTCAAATTCTAAACACCAGCATTCTCCAGTCTCTCGTGTCGTGGTTATAATTTACCAATAATTTTACGTGTTTTAATGTTTATATAGATTGTTGGCTGTGAAGCAGTGAAATCATGTCCAATGCAAGAATCTGTGAAGGCTGGTAAAGTTGTAACTGTTGAAGTCAGTCCAACTTTGTCGGATGGAACTGCTGGCGATGTGGAACCAGGAGCGGTACTTTAAATATTGTGCTCTTCTTTATAGAATATTTCCAATGCAGCAAGCTTTTTCTACCTAACAGTATTTGATTACATTATTTGACTCACCACGAGACCTTATTTAAGTAATTCCAAAAATGATGAAGACTGTAAGTCTTCATTGATAACCGTTTACACTGCAGAGATGTAGGACATGTAGTGATGGGAGCCTATAGAGCCTGCATGCTGTCGTGGAATAGGCCTTTACAGTCACATGGTACTAGTCCGCCATGATGCTGGATGGCAAAATACCCACTGAGATGTTCCAAAAAACAGAAGTCAAGCTTGATTGGCTGCGTTTCTTTAGTTTTTGATTTTTTTGCCATCCATTATAATGGCGGGTTTAGTACCAGTGACAGTTTCATGTAAAAGGTCTACTGGGCTTGATGTTAGCTCTTATATACTGTAAACTCTACATGTAGTCCACAATATTGTCCAATTGTTGAAAGTCAAATGTTTGGTTTACCCCACTCTTGTTGCACACTTGATAATGTCAACTGATCCATTTCAGATAACATTGGAGTTTTGTCAAAAACTAGTGGATGACTGGGTACTTATCACCGAAGACGAAATCAGTAGTGCTATCTATAACACTTTAAAATATCATCATAAGGTTTGACCAATAAAAATTATGAAATGAAAAACTATTGTGAGCATAGTTAATATAATAGTTAACTATGTTCTGAGTCTAAAACATTTTTTTTGGTGTTGTTTCCAGATAATAGAAGGTGCAGCAGGATTGGCTGTAGCAGCATATATTAAGACAATGGACAAATACAAAGGCAAAAATGTGGTGATAATTTCGTGTGGACGTAACATAAGTATGCAGAAATTGAAAGCCATCATTAACAAACACAATGATTGATGTACTTTGGTATCTTGTATTAAAGTCTAAGCTGGTGTGTTTTAAGCCTGTGAACAAAAGAAAAGACAATTGGAATGAAGTCAAGCGTGCATCGATATAAGCATAGTAACAAATAACATAAGGCAGAGCATAAGCTTAAGGAATAAACAGAGAAAAACACCTTCCTTTTTGTCTTCTTAATCCTTTTAYATACAACAGAACCCAGGTGTTAAGTTTTTCATAATTTTGAATTCATGRAGCACTAGTACTGTTTTTTATTTTCCATTTTCCGAACGGGTTTCTGAAACTGAAAAGCTATTCAAGTTGTCTTTGTCTGCTATGCTACGTCATTGAATACTCTGTTGAAGGAATGTAATTAAAACATAGTCAACGGGAAAATGTCATTTGGTAAAAAGGAATGATTGTGATTGGTTGTGATTGCCATATAAAAGCAATCAGTCCCCGCATGTTTCGATGAAAATCAGGCCAGAATCGCTGAACGCTGTCATAGTTTATCTTTCCTGCACCCGACTGATTATAATAGGAGACCATTTGCACCGATCACAAATCCAAATGCTGTGGGAAACATTGTTAATCCAGATCAAGCAGCGGACGGGGCAATCGCAGATGATCATGGAGATGCACCAGAAATTCCATTGCCCGATCAACAAGCTTACCGTGATCGTGTCCCTCAAAGGATTAGCTCGCTAGCAGACTGTGAGCATTTTTTCGGGAGAAAAGGGGCAAGGGACAGGCCTTTGACATGGTGCTTAATCTGAAAATGGTGGCCACAAACAAATCGTCCAAATCAGGATATTGCAAAACAGTCTTTCAGATAAAAAAAATGTCGAAAGTGAAAAAAAGGATGAAGCACTGTTCGCCTGTTAGTTGTTGTTTGTAGAACGAGAGTGCGTGTTTTATCGGGATATATAGATTCGAGCCGCATGCTATATGAACACTTATAATCACAACAACACAACGCGAAACTTCAATTAAAATATCAGCCGTATAATCTAGCTGATAAGTGTAGCTGGCTATAGTTGAGCTCCGAGGAAGACGTGTGCATAAACGCACGTGCACTTCTCAACTAAATTGCACGTGCACACTAAAGGCCGTGTCACACTGGCGTTTTTTTCGTGCA